TATTTTATTCATTGAATTCTTCAGTTCCAGGATTTCTGTTTAGTTCTTTTTTATATCTATCTCTTTGGTGAAATCCTCATTTATATCCTAAATTGTTTTTCTAGTTTCTTTATAGTGTTTATTTGTGTTCTGTTGTATTTCAGTGAGCTTCTTTAATATCATTATTTTTAATTCTCCTTCAGGCATTTAATAAGTTTTTTTTTGTTGTTGTTGGAATCTGTTGTTGGAGAATTATTATATTCCTTTGGAGGTTTCATATTGCCTTGCTGTTTCATGTTTCTTATGTCCTTTCATTGATTTCTGCAAATCAAGTGTAACAGTCACTTCTTCTGATTTTTTGTATTGGCTTTCATAGGGGAAGCCTTTTCCTATAGATGTATCTATGGTGTTGGTTGGCTAAGCCACATTAGCTTTGATTCTGGATGTGTGCATACATGTCTTCATATGATTACCTCAGCTGGAAACAGTGTCAGTGGTGTCTGTGATGTCCTCAGTGGCTTAGTCTGCAGTTGTTAGTAGAGGCTGTGGTGAGGTTTTGCTGGGGATGGGACTCCAATTGGACCAGTCCTCTTGGGGGGTGAGCCAAGCACACCTGTCATGAGCCTGTGGGTAGTACATACAGGCACCAATGTTAGCAGGTCCAGGCACGTCGATTCTTGGGCCTCCAAGTGGCTTGCTTGGGTGCCTTAGTGGCAGCTATATGCCCAGTGGGTGGGCAATTCCTTGGGCCCCTGAGCAGGATGTATAGTGTGAGTGATGGTATTTGTGGATGTATAGTGGATGGTATTTGTGGATGCAGGATGTATAGTGTGAGTGGGGTCACACAGACTCCAGGGAGCACCCTGCACCAGTCTTAGGGCCTGCAGGGGTTGAGGGTCTCCCCTGGAGCTGGGATCACAGGAGTGTGCAGTGAGAATGTGGACCCCTGGGGATCTTTCACCCTTTCCCCGCACGGGGAAGCCTCTCCAGGCTCCCGACCAAGACCCATCCCGTCTGGGCTGTCATCTCCCTCTCCTTCAGTGCACAGTACTACCTTGGGCTTCCAGGTGGCACTCACTATTGTTAGTAGTGGCTGCGGTGAGCTAAGCAGGCCCCCAGGTAGCACGTGCAGGTGGATACCAGGGATGGTGGTGGTGGTGGTGGGTGGACCCGTCCTCAGGCCCCCAGGAGGAAGGCTCAGATGCCAGAGGTGGTCAATGGAGCAGGGCAATCCCCAGACCTCTGGACAGTGTGTTTGGGTACCAGCAGCAGTTTTTCAGGGCCTGTTTCTGGGCCCCTGGTTATGTGCATGTGCACCCGGGCTGATTGACAATCTGAAGACATCCCCAGACCCCCAGATGGCATGCTTGGGCACTATGGGAGCAGTGCCAGGCAAGGTGGGCCTGTTCTCAGTTTCCTCAATGGTGTCCATAGGCATAGGCTGTGGTGGGTGAGGTGGGACAAGCCCTAGGCCTCCGGAAGGCATTCTGGGGTCATTATTAGGCCCTCTACCAGTGTGTGTGTGTGTGTGTGTGTGTGTGCACGCCTGGGGCAACCAACATGGTGGGACAGTCCCCGCACGCTGTGGTGAAGAGGATGGGGTAATCCCCAGGCCCCAGGTGCTGTGCTTGGGTTGCTTTGGCAACGGAGGCATTGGGCAGGGGAAGCCTGTCCTCAGGGCACATGCACATGCGCAGGGCTCTGTGGCTGGAGTGGGTGGGGTTGCTGTTAGTGACAGGGGCCCCAGGCAGGCAGGTTTCAGGATCGGGGAGCACTTGCTTCAGCTCCCTTGCTCCCATGGGCACCCTCTTCAGTGCACTGCATCACACTCTCCTGGGTATGCAGGACACTGTAGGGTAGAGTGCTGGGGACCTGCTGCCTCCCTGGGTCCACCTGGCACCTTGCCGCTGCAGCCCTCCAGGTACATGTGGGGAGATGTCCGTGGGGCCCCAGGGATGCGGAGATGCCGGGGCTGCTGGGTCCCGGGACAGGATGCAGTCTGGTGGGGGCCGGACTCTCAAAGTGATGCCACTGTGCTGCAGCTGCCCGGAGCCTGGGTCAGCGTGGGACCCAGCGTGAGCCACCTCTCTGGAGCAGTGGGGTCACACAGACTCCAGGGAGCACCCTGCACCAGTCTCAGGGCCTGCAGGGGTTGAGGGTCTCCCCTGGGGCTGGGATCACAGGAGTGTGCAGTGAGAATGTGGACCCCTGGGGATCTTTCACCCTTTCCCCGCACGGGGAAGCCTCTCCAGGCTCCCGACCAAGACCCATCCCATCTGGGCTGTCATCTCCCTCTCCTTCAGTGCGCAGGTGCTGCCCAGCCCTCCCCTGTCGAGTTCCCATGGTCTCTGTTAGATGTCCTCTGTGCGATGACTGACTCCTGTTTTGGTTCTCCTGTGTGGAGGAGTCCGACATCCTGTGCCTCCAGCCAGCCACCCTGAGCTTCCCTCCTGAAACAGGTTTTTGTTTTTTTTTTTGAGATGGAATCTTGCTCTGTCACCCAGGCTGGAGTGCAGTGGCACGATCTTGGCTCACTGCAACCTCCACCTCCTGGGTTCAAGCGATTCTCCTGCCTCAGCCTTCTGAGTAGCTGGGACTATAGGCATGGGCCACCACGCCCGGCTAATTTTTTGTATTTTAAGTAGAGACGGGATTTCACCGTGTTAGCCAGGATGGTCGTTCTCCTGACCTTGTGCGCCTCGGCCTCCCAAAGTTCTGGGATTACAGGCGTGAGCTACCGCGCCCAGCTGAAAACAGTTTTTTAAATTACAGTAATTGCTGATAAGCGTGTGGTCATTCTGGCCATATTTTACTGGTGACTTCTGAGTCCTTTCCAGAGCCTTCCAGAAAGCAGTTTGACTTTGACGCAGCATGGATGGAGCCTTGAAGGCACTCCAAGTATCTGGCCCAGCGCTCCCCCTCTGAAAGGCAGCTGAACCCTGATACTCTCTGAGTGCCCATTTTCCCTTCTGCTGTGTGTGCTGGCCTTCCTCACCGGGACATGGAGAGGGCAAGAGAAAACTTGCTGAAAAATCTAAAGGGCTGAACAAACCCTTTCACCTCCAGATTTCCTGGGAACCTGCCCGCCACATGTCTTGAGGCCACTGTAAATACGAAGCCATCTTGTTTGCAGGGCAGGACATGCAGGGAATCCCGGTCCCTGGGGTGCAGGCCCCATGCCTCTCACATGGGCCAAGGAGTATCACAGGCTTCCGTGATGAAGTCAGGATCCTCCCAGACCCTCAGACACTCCCCTTTCGGCCCACAATATTTGTGGGCTCAGGATGGAAATACAAATGGAGGCCACTTACTGTCTCCAGATACTTAGAAGTTACTCGTTGAGCCAACAGACTGTTAGTAAATTGTGTTCCCTTCTCCTGCCTTGACCTTTATCATGGCCTGGCTGTCAAGTTTAGAGTCCTCAGGCCCCGCAGAGTCAAACTGGAAATGTAGGGCGTGGGAGAGCTGCTTTCTTCCATCCTGGCTTCACCTGTCACCACGGACTTTTCTGTCCAAGCAGACACCCGCTGTCCACGCAGGGAGATGCATGGTAGCTGCCAGGACATCTGGGCAGGGCGCTTGGTCTTGTATAGCCATGTCTGGGGCAGACACATCCCTACGGTTTTGCAGGCCCCTTGACCCTGGGAGTGCCTACGCCAGCCCCTCTAGCCAGGTCCAGGGGTGTTACTGGCTGCTCTGCCAGTCTCTGCCCTGTTCTAGGACTGAGCCCCCATGTACTCCTGCCCAACCCCGTCCTGGTCTCCAGGACCTCGTGAGAGCCTGAACCCCACCCTGTACATACACTGGCAGTGGGAGGACTCCACTCTGCCTTGGGAAGTTTCTGCTGATGTCCTCTGGCTACAAATCACTTTCAGTTTCCCCAAATTAGCCGGGCATGGTGGCGTGTGCCTGTAGTCCCAGCTACTCGGGAGGTTGAGTTGAGGCAGGAGAATCTCTTGAGCTCAGGAGGCAGAGGTTGCAGTGAGCTGAGATCGCACCACTGCACTCCAGGCTGGGCGACAGATTGAGACTTTGTGTCAAAAAACAAAAACAAAAACAAAAGCAAAAAAAAAAGATCACTTTCAGTTTCCCCAAGTATGACTGCACCATCTTGCATTTATCACATTTTTGTGGGAGACACGATAGTCTTAGATACTGAGATCTTTTTTTTTTTTTTGAGACAGAGTCTTGCTATGTTGCCCAGGCTGGAGTGCGGTGACGCGATCTCAGCTCACTGCAACCTCCGCCTCCTGGGTTCAAGCCATTCTCGTGCCTCAGCCTCTCAAGCAGCTGAGACTACAGGCGCACACCACCAAGCCTGGCCTGAGATCTTTTAAAATCCTGCTTCTAGGGTGGATTTTCCATGTGACCTGGAGCAATTACTCTGTGACTTAGCTTTCCTTCTGGAAAATCAAACTTGTCACCACTAGCCTACCTTGGAAAGAATGCTCAGCATTACTTATTTTACTTTAGCATCTAAAATAGTTAATTTATAGAATCTAGCAGGTCATGTCCAACCTGGATATTAGTTTAAATCATTTGACTTCAAATGATGTCATCCCTCCTGGATGTATTGCTTTTCATGTATGGCTTGGAGAAACGGCCTTGTGCATTCATATTACATTATCGTTAATTTTGGAATTGTTCTAATGAGTCAAGTTTTGAGTTGATTGGCATCTTGGCACTTATTCCTTGGATGTGATTGAAGGAAAGATAGATTCCATAAGAGTAGAGATGCTTCTGCAAACCTTTGCAGCCCCTCCCACTCCCCTGGTCTGTGGGGCTGGAATTCTTCTCTTTATGCCCAGCCGGGCACCCCCCATGCCCTGTCCCTGCCCATCCTCATCTGTTGGCCTGAGGCCCCGGCCCTCCCACAGTGGGCGGGGAAAGGGTTGAGGCAGGACAGGTGGCAGAATGAAGATTACTTGTGAGCAGTAGCAGTAACACTCTTTGCAAGATAATTATTTGTTATTTCAATGTTTCTGTAAAACTGAGAGCCCATTTATCACCCTTCTCCTTAGGCAAAATGTTTAGAAAGTGAGAAGGATGGCGTGCTCAACAAAGTCATCAAAAGCCACATTCGCCTGGGAAAGCTGGAGGAAAAAGTCAAGGTACGTGGTTATTTGGCCTCGGAGATTTCATTTTCAGATGGGAATGCAGGTTCACTGCTGTGGATTTTTGTGTTTAAGAAAACGACACCTTTTGCATGTGCGTCAGTAACAGTCCACAGAGTAAAAGTATTGTAAAGTTTTGCTGACAGAATGGTACCTCTCACCTCATTCAATAAACTTTGGTTCATTCACACAATAAAATACTGCACAGCTGTTTAAGAATAAAGGCTATGAAACAAGGCCCAGTGGCTCATGCTGTAATCTCAGTGACTCAGGAGGCCTAGCCAGGAGGATCACTTGAGGTCAGGAGTTTGAGACTAGTCTGGGTAACATAGCAAGACCCCAATCTCTATAAAAAATTTAAAAAGTTAGCCAGACATGGTGGTGCTTGCCTGTAGTCTCAGCTTCTCGGGAGGCTGACGGCGGTGGGGGAGGGGTGATCCATTGAGCCCAGAAGTTCAAGGCTGCAGTGAGCCGAGGTCACACCACTGTACTCCAGCCTGGCTGACAGAGTGAGACCCTGTCTCAAAAACAAACAAACAAACAAACAAAAACACCGATAAAAGGAGAGACAGGATCTCACTCTGTCATCCAGACTGGAGTGCAGTGAGTGACATGACGATGGCTCACTGCAGCCTTGAACTCCTGGGCTCAATGGATTCTCCTGCCTCAGCCTCCCAAGTTGCTGGGGCTACAGGCAAGCACCATGGTGTCTCGCTATTTTTTTTTTTTTTTTGTTTGTTTGTTTGTTTGTTTAGAGATGAGGTCTTGCTATGTTGCCCAGGGTGGTCTTGAACTTCTGAGCTCGAGTGATCTGCCTGACTCTGCCTCCCAAAGTGCTGGGATTACAGACATGAGCCACCTCACCTAGCAGGGACCCTGTCTCTTTAAGAGGAAAAAAAAAGGCTGAAAGGGAAGGGGATATGCCATGCTGTTGATGAAGGGACTCAGCATAGAAGTATTGAGTACTTTAAAATCCCCGTCGTGGGGTTTTTTCTTTTTCTTTCTTTTTTTCTAATATTCCTGCTTTTTACTTGCAAAAGAGAAGGAGTGATCCTCGGAGTAGTTGGCCTTGCTTGGGGAATCCGTAGCGTTACCATTTATCTGAACAGGAATAGTAAAACCGGCTCACCCAGAGGAGACACCTGTGAGCAGGCCCCAAGGTAGACAGGCCAGGAACTCGGCGGGAGTGAAGAGAAAAGGCTTGAGAAATCCAGAGGTGACATCTCAGGAAATCCCTGCAAAATATCACTCTTCAAAGGGCAGACATCACCTTGGAAGTCCGGGGCTGTGACGAGATCTGGGAACGGAGGGATGCAGGCAGAGGCCCCTCCGAACCAGGCTGAATTCAGTGAGTGGGAGATAGGGCTGCAAGGTGGAGGGTGGGGGGAACATGGGAAGCCTGGAAGGACACCCTGGCCCAACTGTCGCTCCCACCCTCCCAGGAACCTCCTCTCATCCCAGAGGAATTCAGAGTCCTCCATATAAAAACAGTTTAAGGAAAAGGAAGAAAAATAGAGGCCTAACTTCCCATTGACGAAAACTGCCGAAAACTTATCAGGAAAAGTGTTGCCGTAAAAGATCAAAATGATACTCCAAAGTGAACTGCTAGGTAGCTGGCTAGAGAGCTGGACACAGCTGGAGAGACAAGACTTCAGGAGGCAGTCAGAGCCAGGAAGAAATGTCACAGAGCAGAGACACAGGACCTCAGGAAGAGGCAGCCAGGCCCAGGAGGGCGTGGGATGGAACTGACATGACCCAGGGAAGAAATAGAAGGGAAAGAGAAGCCGTTTAAGAAATGCAGACTGAATTCTATGGAGACAGACGCCGTAACAGAGCAATAAGGGATATGCAGCTAGAAACGAGAAAGACAGACAGGAAAGTGGGAATGGAGATGTGCAAAGGATTCGGTGGAAAGTGATGGAGATCTAAGAGATCTACTTCTAGAGCCTCCAAAGAAGAAACCAAAACAGTGGCTTATTCTGCTCTCAACTGTAACTCATAAAAATCTTTCTGAAATAAAAGAAGACTTGAATCTACGTCCTGAAAGGGCACATTATGTACTTAGGGAAAACTGACACAGAATGGACCCAGAAAATTGACACTAAAACATACGACTTTAAGATGAAACGGCCAGGCGCAGTGGCTCATGCCTGTAATCCAAGCCCTTTGGGAGGACGAGGCAGGCAGATCCCTTGAGCCCAGGAGTTTGAGACCAGCCTGGGCAACATAGGGAGACCCCAGTCTCTAAAAAAAATACGGCAATTAGCCAGGCTTGGTGGTACATGCCTGTAGTCCCAGCTACTCGGGAGGCTGAGGTGGGAGGATTGATTGAGCCCAGGAGTTTGAGGCTGCAGGGAGCTATGTTCGTGCCTCTGCACTCTAGCCTGGGCAACAGAGCAAGACCATGTCTCAACAATGAGTCCTGCCAGCCAAGAAGTAATTGGGGAAACTTCAGCAAAATTAACTTGTAGTGAGCGAAGAATCCATTTTTACAGCAGGGATAAGGATTGATGCTGATAGAATTGTATGTAAATGTTTTCTGACAATGTAGTAATAATACAACCAAGGAAACAATGATGGGCTAAGGGCGAAGGAAGGTAGAAAGTAGATTACACTTGCTGATTTCTTCATAGGTAATAAGAGTCAAGGGATATCATTAAAGCTGAAAAACCAAGTGGTACGAGCTAGCAGGTGAACAGGAGGGGAAAAGTGAAGAAAATGTTGTTATGAGCTAATGTATTGTTACTTTTGTTAGGGAACCAATGGATACAATCTAAAAAGAGGGGACTAAGAACATAGCATATAAAGGTGTAAGAATAAAACCAACCCACTTTGGGAGGTCGAGGTGGGCGGATCACGAGATCAGGAGATCAACACCATCCTGGCCAACATGGTGAAACCCCGTCTCTACTAAAAGTACAAAAAATTAGCCGGGAGTGATGGCAGGCGCCTGTAGTCCCAGCTACTCGGGAGGCTGAGGCAGGAGAATGGCAGAGGCGGAGCTTGCAGTGAGCTGAGACTGGGCCACTGTACTCCAGCCTGGGGGACAGAGCGAGACTCTGTCTCAAAAAAAAAAAAAAAAAAAGAATAAAGCCAACTACAAGTATCGAGCTTTATTCCTAAATAGTGGAATCAGAGTTGGGCAGAGTGGCACATGCCTGTAATCCCAGCTCCTCAGGAGGCTGAAGTAGGAAGATCACTTGAGACCAGGAGTTCAAGATCAGCCTGGGCAACATAGAGACCCCATCTCTAAAAAAATGTTTAAAATTAGCTGGGCTTGATGGTCAGTGCCTGTAGTCCCAACTCTGCGGGAGGATCTTGAGCTCAGGAGTTTAAGGCTGTAGTGAGCTATGATCGCACCAGTGCACTCCAGCCTGAGGGACAGAGCATGGAGCAGGACCCTGTTTCTAAAAAAATTTTTTTTAATGGTAGAATTATAACAGCAAAAAAGCAAAGAAAAAGACTACATTAGTTTAAAATCTTTTAAAAATATGTAGATAAAACAGCCAAACATAAAATAACAAAATTGAGACCAAACAAATCTGTCCTATAGGTAAATGTAAATTAGCTTAATTCACCCATTAGGGAAAACAACATTTTTTTGGATTGACTCATAAAGCAAAATGCTATTCCACACTAGACCCAAGAGACAGCCTAAAACAAAGTGTTCATGAAGGATTTAAATTGAAAGGATGGGTAGAGATAACCCAGATTTCTGCAAACACAAAGAAAGCAAAGGTTGAAATCTTGACATATGCCAAGATAGAATTCAGACCAAAAGCACTAAATGACACCAAAAAAAAAAGGGAGATTTTTATAATACTAAAAGACTATAGTTAATAATATATAGTATGAGCTGGGTGTGTGGGTCCCTGCAGAGGAGGCTGAGCAGGAGGATCATTTGAATTGAGTCTAGGACTTCGAGGCTGTAGTGCACCATGATCAGGTCTGTTAATAGCCACAGGACTCCAGCCTGGGCAACATAGTGAGACCCTGTCTACATCATCATCATCTATAGTAATTGTAAATATCTATGCACTAAATAACATAGCAGCAAATTTATGAGTGTAGACTACAGGAAATACAAAGAAAAATGGAAACTTAGTAATAGGAGCTATAATCCACCTCTCTTAATCCAAGACCGATCAAGATGTTAAACAAAATGAGAAAATAGAAGATTTAACAACATAATCAACAGGGTATATTTACATATATATAAAAGACACAAAAATTGATCATTGCTTGACCAGAAAGAAAGCCTCAGTAAATCCCTAAAGTAGAAATAATGTAGGCACTTGTTTTTTGTTTGTTTGTTTTGAGACAGAGTCTCACTTTGTCGCCCAGGCTGGAGTGCAGTGGTGTGATCTTGGCTCACCGCAACCTCTGCCTCCCAGGTTCAAGCAATTCTCCTGCCTCAGCCTCCCGAGTGGCTAGAATTACAGATGCGCCACCACGCCCTGCTAATTTTTGTATTTTTAGTAGAGACGAGGTTTCACCATGTTGGCCAGGCTGGTCTCAAACTCCTGACCTCAGGTGATCCGCCCGCCTCAACTTCCCAAAGTGCTGGGATTACAGGCGTGAACCATCCCACCCAGCCAGCATTTGTTGATCACAAATATGAAAACCAGAAATTAATAAGCAACAGCAGAAAACAAAGTTATTTCACTTGGAAGTGTAAAAACTGGGCACTAATGCTTGGGTCAGAGAGGATGTATAAACTGAGTGTCAGAGTTTCTTATAAAAAACGAGTCTGTGGAACTACCTGTCAGACTCTCTGTGACAAGAACTTTAGAAATGCTCACAGAACAATTCAGAACCTTCAGTACTATACAGTAAAAGTGAAAGAAGGAAAGTAAATGACGGGCTCTCATCTCAGCTGTCTGTCTGGCGACAGAGACTGACAGCCCTTGTTGGATTCTTCGATGAGGCTTTCTTGTCAAGGTGAAAGAGTGCTGACCAGTGGCAGCATTAGTTCTTAGGCTACCAGTTGATGCAGGGATAAAAGCTGTCCTGGAAAAAATACAGTTGTAGATTAATTTGCAAGAACATCCTAGTTTCTTCTGTGATGGTGATTTTTTTTTTTTTTTTTTTTTTTGAGACAGGGTCTCCCTGTGTGGCCCAGGCTAGACAGTGCAGTGGCACCATCACACTCACTGCAGCCTCCGCCTCCTGGGTTCAAGTTATCCTCCCGCCTCTGCCTCACAAGTAACTGGGACTACAGGCATGTGCCACCACTCCTGGCTAATTTTTGTATTTTTAATAAAGACAGGGTTTCACCATGTCGGCCAGGCTGGTCTCGAACTCCTGACCTCAAGTGATCTGCCTGCCTCAGCCTCTAATAGTGCTGAGATTACAAGCATGAACCACTGTGTCCAAAGGTGATATTTTATGTTTTCATTATTTATAGCATATAAAGAACCAGGATTTATATACATTAAAATTTGGTTTTATTGTACCTGAAATTCTTTTATCACTTTTTATGACTTTTATCATCCAGACTTGCCCTCCCAGATCAAACTTACCTGGGGTTACTAGATTTAAAAGGCCCTGAGTGGGTACGGAGCGCAGCCAGGAGGCACTGTCCACCCTGGCCCCTCACTCACAGAGTCCTTCTGCTGACCAGGGCTACAAGAAGCAGGCCGCACTGAAGCTGGGGGACATCAGTCACCGTCTGCTGGAGCAGCAGGAGGACTTCGCCGGCAAGACAGCCCAGTACCGGCAGGAGATGCGGCACCTGCACCAGGTGCTGAAGGACAAGCAGGAGGTGCTGGACCAGGCGCTGCAGCAGAACAGGTGGGTGTCCGCCCTGCGCCATGGCCCGCGGGGATGTCTGAATGTTTGATTGAGGGTTCTGCTAAAACCCTCTGGGCCTGTTTCATTTGTTCCGTTGTTTAATTTTGTTTCTACATTTTACTCTTATCTGAATGTAATATTGGTCTTGAGTTTTATTTGCTCCTCGTTTTCTTTATTCTTTTAAAAATTCCACTTGTTTGAATTGGACTTCCGGAATCAATGCACACCTCTAATTGCCTTTCTCTTTTTTTCTGCTGCCTTCCATCTCGCTGATATTTTTATTTTGTCTCCTTTTCTTTTTATTTTATTTTTTTGAGACAGCATTTCCCTGTCGCCCAGGCTGGAGTGCAGTGGCACGATCTCGGCTCACTGCAACCTCCACCTCCCGGATACAAGCGGTTCTCCCACCTCAGCCTCCTGAGTATAGCTGGGATTACAGGCATGAGCCAGTTTTGTTTCATTTTCTTGAGAGATTTTGTTAATTTTTGATTAGGTATTTTATTTCTGTTATTGCTATTATTAATATTACTACTACTACTACTTACAGACAGGGTCTGCCCCTGTTGCCCAGACTGGAGTGCAGTGGTGTGATCATAGCTTAACTGCAGCCTCAAACTCCTGGGCTCAAGCCATCCTCCTGCCTTAGTTTCCCAAGTAGCAGGGATTACAAGCATGAGCCACTGTGCCCAACTTTTTAAAACTCTTCATTCACTGCAGTCAGGGCCCGGGGATCCCCACTCATGGCGAACAGTGTAGACTCACACTCCAGACCCGTTTGAGAGCAGGCCAGTGGCTCTGGTCCCCAGGAGATGCCTGGCCTTTCAGAACAGGTTTCCTTTGAAGATCTGCAGGTCTCCCACCCAGCCCTCCTTTCTTTGAGGGTCCTTTACATCCTCCACTGACCTACCTTCACAGCGCCTCTAGTAGGAAGAGAAACTTGGACAAGAGTAGGCCCTGAGATTTTCTGTCACTCTTGATCTGCATGATCTGTCAGTCTACAAACGTCCAGGGTTTGGCATGGACTTTTGTCCTCAAAGCAACTGATACTTTGTCTGCCTCTTTGGTTTCAGTTTAGGCTTCATTTTTTCTGCCCTTAGAGACTGCCTATTCTTTCTTTCAAGTTCAACTATACATTTAAACATGATTGTTTTAATTTACCAAGTATCTTCAGAAAACCAGTCTGGGGATTTTTTTTTTTTAATTAAAATACAAGGTCTTGCTCTGTTTCCCGGGCTAAAGTACAGTGGCACCATCTCAGCTCATTGCAGCCTCAAATTTCTGGGCTCAAGTGATCCTTCTGCCTCAGCCTCCCGAGTAGCTGGGAATACAGGTGCATGCCACCACGTGGGCCCAGCTAATTTTTAAGTTTTTTGTAGAGATGAGGCCTCACATGTTGCCCAGGCTGGGGCTTTTTTAGACATAGTTTAATTAAGTTGTTCTCACCACACAGTGGGCATCAGGGGCCTTGGAAGGAAGGAACGTTCACAAGAAAAGTGACTCTGGCCAAGTGGGCACATCACTGACCTCCCTGAACTTCACTGTCCTGCCCTTTAAACCGTGGTGCGAAGTCCACCTGCGAATCCAGTTTCCAACATTTTCCAGAACCATCTGGCAGTGTTCGGGAAGGAGCTGGCCTCTCCAGCTTGGCCATGCTCCCCAGTGGGGCTCAGCACCTTGTGAGGTGTGGCTGGTATCCTGGTCTGTTCCCAGTGGACTGTGGCCCTGTGGGGACGTGGCCACCTTCATCTGTCCTGTCTCCCCAGCACACCACAGGGCGCTGCATGCTGGTTCTGGAAACGCTGCCCTGTGGCTCTTTCCAGCCTCACAAGCCTGGGCCCCTCAGGGCCTCCCCATCCCGGCACATGCGCCAGGCCAGTCTTCTCCATCTTGGCAATGAGTCTTATCTCCTCAGGTCCCCTCCTCACCCCCGACTCGCTCTTAGCTCTGGGCTGTATGGAGCACAAGACCTGTGGAAGGTCGCTGAGTGCTGGCCAGGTCACAGTGGACAAGCAGAGGGGACACGGGAGGGGCTGTGTGGGTGCCTGCGGCCAGGCCATCGTGCTAGAGCATCTGGCTGGCCACGGCCAGCCCTGCAGTTCCTACAGTTCCTTATTTGACATACCCAAGTTCATTATTGAGAGAAAACAGGGATTGCACTGATGCCAAAGTCAAGGGCAGAACGTAGAGGGAAGAGAAATGCCTGTGTAGCCTGAGCTGTCCTGCTGCTCCCTGTTCAGGGCACCGGCCGCTTCGTTCCACACTGAGCCCCAGCCTGTGCTGTCCTGCTGCTCCCCATTCTCAGGGCACCGGCCGCTTCGTTCCACACTGAGCCCCAGCCTGTGCTGTCCTGCTGCTCCCCATTCCCAGGGCACCGGCCGCTTCATTCCATACTGAGCCCCAGCCTGTGCTGTCCTGCTGCTCCCCATTCCCAGGGCACCGGCCACTTCATTCCACACTGAGCCCCAGCCTGTGCTGTCCTGCTGCT